TTTGGTAATCTGTACTTCTTTTTTACTAAAGATGCGGCTGTAATTTTGGTTTAATATTAAAATCAAAACGCATTTTTCATAGCTCTTTTAAATGAAAACGTATATGAGAAAAATGTCGTATTTTAATGCATGACATCAAGACCCAGATCGAAGTTTGGCTCAACAAGGTTTTTCGGTGCTAAAGTTGGGCTACTATCGTGACAAACGGCAAGATAGCAGCCAAGATCATGCGAGAAGAAATGCTCTTGGTACACTTGGTGCAATTGTGTTATGCTATAGTGCTAGTGGCACAATCACAAGCAGGAGCGCCAACGGAGCCTACACGGGTCAAAACCTAATCTTTGGGTCATTTGTAAATTATATACTTCTGTGTGCTTCTTATTCCTTATCAAAAACTACGAGAGAGAACTTGAGAGAGTGAACTCTTAGGGTTACAGATTCGGAACTTATCGGTAAGAACTAATAATTCTCCTTCCGGTATTGACTATGTGAACCACCCATCTCCTTCATGTGGATGTACACTAAATGCATGAACGTTAAATCTTCGTGTCCTTACTATTATCGTTTGTATATCATTATTGCATTGTTGTTTTGGGTTGTTATTGTCTCATTTATCGTATTTTGTTAGACACATGCTCGAGATGTGTTTGTTTTTGTAAGGTTTTATCACAATCCAAAAGTGAATAAAATAATAAAATATAAAATAAAGGAACAAGAATCCATAAAATTGTAAATCAATCGAATCCAATGTTTACATAATAAGAAACCAAATAGCAACCATAAGGTGTAACTGGTACAAGCATTAATCAGTTATAATGCTGATATGGAATTTTTGAACTTGAAATTAATGCATGAAAGTAGAGCATAATTTGGTTCTATTTATAAGAAAATTCGTCCTTCAAAAACTACATGTAAGAGTTTACGACAAAATATCTTAAATATTTAAGGGTGCGTTTGGTACACTAGATAAGACATAACAGAATAGAACAGAGATTTATGTTCCATGTTTAGCATGATTTTATGTGGAACAAACACGAACATAATAGAACCCATAGAACAGGGTGGAACAGACTTATATATTACCAATATAAACTCAAAATATAACTTAATTCTCTTATAGAACATCAAATATGTCTCCCTTCACATTTTTTTCATTTTTTTAAATTTTATTTATTGTATTTTATGTTTTTTAAACTTTCATTTTACTGTCTTCAAATATTATTTTTAGACGACTTCTATATCCCATCTGGACACCCAAGATTACCCCATATTTAATAATACTCGTTAATCTATTGGTCACTAACTTGTCTTTCAAACTTCTATCAAATTTTTGAAACCATTTTTTTTTTGCAAAATCCTTTTTTGAAAACATTTTTACGATCTAGGCCCTGAGCACAAATAACATATATACTCCTCGGGGTAAATATACAGTATTTGTACATCATACCCACTTCGTATGGATTTCACTTGATATTTTCTGGTCTATTTTAGTTTTACGGATCTATCTGTGATTGAATGTTCAGAAGAAAAATGAGAATGTAATTTCGTTTGCGTTAATATGAATCTATGAAATGAAGTTACAAATCTAGTTTATAAAAAATTCTCAATTTTAACTCAAAAATGTTAAAGAAAGAAGATGAATGTGAAACAGTGAATTATGAAAGAAAAGTTTCACAGATCAATATAAATATCAGAAATAAGATTAACAGAATATGGGAATAAAAAGATATCATACAGTAATCGTATTATGTGCTTTATTTTGTGTCATAATTATGTTGTCATGTTTTTATACTGTAATAAAACATTTAATGACAGAGAAGATAAACAAATGTGATTAAAAACTAAGTAACATAAATCATAAACGTTTGAGATGTCTTGTTGTAGACCAAAAAATTAAGCTTATGAAACATAGTTACATAATATAAAAACCGTACCAAAATATGTTTTACTTCAACGTTTTGCCATGCAAAACAGTAGTATAAATTTGAAATGGCAAAGGAGCACAGTGTTGAGACATGACGTTAAGGAAACTAAAGCATTGTGATTTTGAATTGTATCAGTGTATAAAATATGTTTGACCCTGAAAGTGCATATACGACAAAAGATTGTTCTTAGGGGTATGTAGAAAGTCAACTGATCAAATTGGAATTGACTGATCCAATTAAAATCAACCGACCATAATTGGATATCCAGTTGTAATTGAATCATATCGGATTGAAAATTTCGACATCCAATTTGGATTGGTCGATTCATGGATAACAATGCACAACCGACCAACTAACCATTTGTTGACCATCCAATTATCCATCCAACCATCGTCCAATTAATTTTTTGTCAATTTGCTTAAATCCGAATTTGTGTTATGTTGGTTTTTGGATCTTTAGTCTCGCTTGTGTTGGTTTTAACACAAACTAAAAGTGATTAATCAATTTGTTTCATTATGTGAAATTGGATTGAATTAACACATTTGATGGATTCAATCAGATATGAAATCCATTGGATGTTGGATGGATCCAATCCAATTAATCTTGGTTGGATTCAATTCGATTCAATCATCCATTGAATTAGATTAGATCGGTTGGCAAAATCCAACATCCAACGGATGATTGGATCAGTTCGATTCCCTCACATCCAACGAATATCAATCAATGAACGAACCTTCCCACAACTATTAAACATAAGAAAATGTAAATTCATGTGTTATCTGAAAATAGACGAAATAACCTGTATGCATTTCAATACTAATGCACTAGGACCAAGGTGGGATGATTGAATACAAGATTGTATCGATAGTCAAGCCGTAGGATGAGATGGTAAACTGACCCATTCCATTTTGGCCCAAAAATGTTTAACCAGTTATTCAATCCGTCTATTCCATCCCTGTTGCCATCTATGCTACTGCTGTTTTTTTATCTTAACCTGTATGTTTTGTACTCAGTATAATGATTGGAAATGTATGGTGGAAATAAAGAATTAAATATTTGTTAAATTTTTAACAAATTGATAAAACATAAAACTTACCAAAGTTTATGATTTATAACTACCGTTCAATTTTTTCTAAGTATATTACAAAAGGTTGTCCATGTGGTTTATGAAAATTTTAATTTTCGTCAATCGACTTCTGAAAGGATATCAGACACTTTGTAGTTTCTATTTTGTTACGCTTTTCATTACTGACCCTCATGACGACAAGGTTTCTCAAGTTTGATCGTCATGTGAGGGCAAAAGGGATATTTTACTTTGAACTATTCAAGCGATGAAGAAAACCGACATTACAACCCATAAATATCCAACTCCAAAATACACAAAATCAAAACATAATCGTAATGTTTTTTTTTTACTAACCTGGATATCCAACCCGCTATGCGAGCTGACTAATCACAGGGTGACCACCTTGCTTTGCAGGTAGCCCAGAGTCACCGCATTTGAACCTCTATGGCCAAAAAGAGATTTTTGTTCATTCTTGGATTTGAACCTGAAACCTCCAAACACTTTTGACCTTTGGAGCCAAACTCAAACCAATCAAAACATAATCATAATGTTTTTAATTAACACAATACAAATTCACTAAAAACCAACACACAAGTTCGCCACTTCTCATCAAGGAAACAAAAACTGATGCAGGAGTAGATTCAAATCATCAAATCCATGGATGCAGAACGTCAACGATATGAATAAGATGAAGAACGTCAACAACAAATATTATACAAATTGAATCCAAAAATTTGTGATACAAAACGATAAATCAAGACCCTAAAAACAAAACCCCAAACAGCTCATCACCCTCAACTATCTGAAAAATGCTCACGCTCCTAAAGAACCCACTGATGATAGTATTCAAAATAAAAACAGGGTTCTGATTCTACACCTCGCTTATGCTTATACGCTTCCAAGTCATGTTTTGACTCATTCTTTTGCACCTCCATGTGTCGGTGACAAAACTGATATCGTGGTAATGGCATGCGTGGTTGGAGCTCCGTCGAACCCAAGTTGTTATGATTGATGGCAGTGGAGGCATTGACGAGGGCACTTGACGGATGAAAAATATGAGGAAAAAATATATTGCCGTCACATAAGTAGCACGTAAGGGCACTTGACATGAGGGGACTAATGGTTAAGGTCATGAACGGAAACAGTAACAAAATAGAAACCGTAAAATATTTAATATACTTTGTAAAGTCAAAATGAAAGTTTTTGTAGATCACATGGACAATTTTCACAATCTCTCAAAAATTTAATAAACTGATTCTAACTTCATAAAACGACGGACATTTCTTTATATAATTTTATTTCGTCTTAAATTCTAATTTAAAAAGTATAAAAATATTTCAAAAATCAGAAAACCAACGATTCATATCAATATTCTTTAAAAAGATTACAATATCAATAATTAGATAATCTATACTATATTATAAATCATTTGACAAAAACTTTTAAAAACCCATTTTTATGCATGAAGTACTGTTTATTGATGCATATTATTTAAAATTAAGATTACAAGTAAATTATGCATAAATACAACTTATTAAAGCTTTATGTTTGAATTCGTGTAACTAATTGGGGGTAAACATAATTAAATAGAGGATAAATATCTCATTTTAAAATATAAAAAATCTAAAATATAATTAGGATAATTGTCGAGTTCTAACAAAATAACTAATTATTATCTTTATAAGAAAATTATATCATTAAACCAAATATAAATTACTTCATTATTGAACTTAAATTAAATTGTAACAAAAAATGAGGAATTTTAAATAGTTAATTTGATACTAATATCGATAATTTTTGTCAAAATTTTATGATATTTTTAAATTTATATTTTATTTAAAATAAAAATATCATTGTTTTTTTAAAATCACATAAAACTATATTATAACATCGATTAAGATAAATAATAAAATCAAAGATTAAAAAAAGTAAAAATATTTCACATTTTCTTAATTTGCAAGATACTTGCAAAACACATAGTATGATAAGTGTACTTTGGATACACCATCATGATCGACATTGGAGGTAACCGGTAAGGTTAAGCAAATCCCCTCCAGTTGGAGTCCCCACCCACTTCTACAACCCATCGGATCTAAAAATTTCTTCGATCTTCATCGTCATCCCTTTTGATCAATTCAAAACCCTTTTGATTTTCATTTAAATTCTCACTCAATTTCGATTTTTCACTATTTCTTTTCCAATAAACCCTAGACGCAGGTTAAGAATCACCTCGTGATTCCCACGTCGATATCTCACACTTGTTTAAATTTCTGGTACCGTCTTCATATTACTTTTGTTTGTTATTTTGACTTTTGTTGTATTTATGTTTTGGTTACTTACGGATCAAACGATCCTCGTCGGCACTTACAGATTGTGGGATTATAGTAATTTGGGGTTTCTTGCTCTTGATCGGATCAGATCGTAGGGTTTCCAAGAAAAAAAACAGGTGACAATGTTTTCGCGTATGTTTGGGAAGCCTAAGCAAGAAACGAACGCTGTAACAACGTTAGACAAATTAAACGAGGTACTCTCTGAGATTTAGTTTGTGTTTTCCTGAGAATTTTGACTATTTCTTTGTTCGTTGTCGAAATCTGGTTACTTCTGTATGTTGAGTTTCTTATCTACTCGGTGATGTTGGTTGGAAGAATTTATTTTTGTGATTGGTTTCAAATAGTCTACTTGGAAAAAGAAAGTCTTTAGGGTTCATCGAGCATTTAGTTCATGGTTTTCTGCATTCCTTTAATCAGTTTTTTGTAGCGATCTTTATTTGGTTGCTGAAGGGTTTGCTTTTGGCCCACACCAAAGGTTTGTATGATCTTACAAGCTGTGGGCAATTGATGAGATATCAACCTAATATGCTTCACCCTGTTCAAAACTAGAGTTGATTTTAGATCATAAGCATGGAAATTATGTCGTTGAAACTTGAAACTTGAAACATAGGGTAACACTCAGGATTAGGACAGGTATTGTGTGACACCTTGCGTTGCCCTCCACCCTATACACACATACCTCTTTGGATGGGATGTATTGGGCTTGTTTGGTTTATATATGTGTGTGTGTATCTGTATTTGAAGACTGGTATCTAATCTTCTTTGGCTACAATGGTGGGTACATGCGATGCGACAGTCTTTTTGCATCGCTGGGGCAAACCTTAGGTTTTTCTAACCATTATTGTGGCTCTAAGGAGTTGGTAGTAGTGCTTCAAATTGAGACCAGCGATACATAGGTCCCAAGATTTGCCCACAGGTCTACCCTTGGGTTTTTTTGTGTTGCTATATGCTCTTATGAAACTGAAGAAAGAGAACAAACTATTAAGAAAGCAACAGCCATGAGCCATCCAATGCAATGAAGGAAGTACATTGCAAAGAATATTTGTATGCTCTTAATGCAAATACTCTAGGTGCAAATATGATGGAAGTATGCTCTAGAATTATCATCTGCTTGACCCTTGAGTAGGATCTTCTCGGTATTATCTTTTTGTTATCTACTCTGTAGTGACCCCTGAAATGTTCTTCCAATTTTTCCATGCACTCAATAATTTTGATAATCTGTGCAGACGCTTGAGATGTTAGAGAAGAAAGAAAAGGTACTTCTGAAGAAAGCTGCTGCAGAGGTTGAAAAGGCAAAAGAATTTACCAGGGCAAAAAATAAAAGGGGTATAAATTGAGATTTAAAGAATTTATCTTTTGCGTTTCTGCAAGTTGAAATTGTGTGGTGATTTTGGGTTATTATTTCAATGGTGTAGTGTCAATACATCTTCATCCTATGACATATGCTAAACTTTGCATTTTAGTATGTCTATAAAGGTAATTGTGGAAAACCTCCTTTTTTATTAAAAAAAGCCACATAGGTAATGAGCTAGTTATTTCCTCTCATATTCATTATTGCTAAAGTATCTGTATAATACATGTTGACCCTGAAGCTTTACTCTGATTTGAAGGCTTCAAGGTGCATTTCAAGGCTTATTATTTGTGAAGTTTTCTTTCATATATTAAGACCCCGTTTCCTTCCATTTCTTTTGCTACATTCATCAATGCGCTACTTGTAGTTAAGGGCAATTTGGGAATTGGGACAATAATCACACACTTGGTTCCTATGCATGAAACTGGGGTGTAACATCGCAGATATGGGTGGGGGACTCGTCCTACAAAACACTCCCAAACCGTTGCATCACATTCTCTCCTTGTTCTCCCATCTCCACCCAGCTTGGTAAAAAACAACTCAAGTAGAACAAACATTTACGAAACATAAATTGAAAACGAAGAATTCCCTTTTTGTATGAGAACCGGATGAAGAAATAATTATTAGTACCACAGTGCTGTAAAAAGTTAGCTTTACAAGCTTGATGCAACATGTTATAAGAATCATTTATCTACTCAGCTTCAAAGGTGTCTTTGTGTGTTCTTCTCTCCCTACCTTTCTGTTCTCTCGATTACAGCAATCTTGACATCCTCATTTTATTTTATGATATTCATATTCATTAGACAACACAAGTCACTAATCATCCATGTGCTTTAATCATAGTTTTCACCAATGTTTTTATCATTTCTTTCCCTATACCAAGATCCTACTCTTGGGGACCACATTCCGTGCCAAACTTATGGACATTTCAATCCATATATTAACAATAAAGCTTCTACTAATTAGCCAAGTTTTCTTGTTTTATACCCACCAAGCTGAAGTTATCAATACTCCATCTTGAATTAAATTCCTGACCCCTTTCTTCTTCACTACTCTTCTCTGTTCCTTCCACTTCATCTACCAGTCTTGTTAATTCGCTACCCAAAAAAAGGTAGTGTGAGCATTTTGTAGTATGAATGCTTTTCTTATGGTTTTCTAATTTTGTTTTATCTTTTAACTTTCATCTGTTCTTATTTGCTTTCAAAGGCCCTGATTTTGGTGCTAGGATAAGCTTCTAGGTCGGATCATGATCCCCTGCCAATATGTCCATCTCTCAATGATTTCATATGGGCAATTAGGGTGCTTGGTTGCAGCTAGTCCTGTAGATTAATCTTGCCCTCCATTTTAGTCACTCTAGAATTCTTCCAAGAGGAACATTTGATTCTTGATTCATAATATGCCTGTCTTAAAGTCCAAACTGCAATCTGAACCACCATAAGCGTATCCTGAGCATGACTTAGTACATCAATAGTCATAAAGAAACCTCCTCATAAGTCAAGTAAAGGCCTGTTTGCAGCAGAACTACTAGAAAAAAAAGACTAATAGACTATATACCAAGCATTCTTGCCAATCTTTCCTTTTGGATGTTCCCCAATAATATTGACTATACCTGCATATCACTTATAGTCCCAATAGGGTCATAGTACCTTAAGTTCCAATCATGACAAACAAATACATATCATCATTATTAAAAAATGAAAAGGAAACTAAAAGGAGGGGAGTACTTGAATTTTTCTTTTTGGAAGCCAAAATATTATTATAGCTGTAAACAATACATACAGGGAAAGTATGATCCAAGTAACTACACCAACTTGATTAAACCGAACCACAAAGGCAGTACTTAGATTGATAAGACTTAATTTTCTTGACAATTCATTGTTTAAGGATCAGAAGTTTCATTGAGTACCACCTTCCTTATTTTTCTACTTAGTTGGAGCTGAAACTTATTTTCATGTGTTCCTGGAAAAGTTAAACTATATTAATTATGTTGTTTCTTTCTCTTTTTGCATTGAAAATTATGCAGCGGCAATACAGTGTTTAAAGCGAAAACGACTTTATGAACAGCAAATTGAACAGCTTGGCAATTTTCAATTGCGCATTCATGATCAGGTACCTTTGTAATTTCCTATAATCAAAACATTAACAATATATTATTTATTTTATTTGCATGATCGGTTATTCTAACTAATCAATATGTGTCTTGGCACCAGATGATAATGCTTGAAGGTGCAAAAGCTACCACAGAGACGGTGGATGCTTTGAGAACTGGAGCTCAAGCAATGAAGGCAATGCAAAAGGCAGTGTAAGTTGCACATTTTATTGTGTTACACAAAATGCACTACTCTGCTTGTTTAATGTTACATAACCATACTTGTGTTTTGTAAATGTTAGCGTCCAATCAAATTCTGTCTTATGATCTCCTTATAGTTTAAATCACTTTCCCGTTGACAAAGAAGATACTTGTAGTTTGAGAAGTCTCAACTCTCTTTCCTCTCACTCTTGTCTCCTTAGACACAACTTCACACCCCTCCCATCCAAAATTAGAAAAGTTAAGCTTGACTTCTAGTATCAGCTTTTGTAACACTGAGGCTCAAAGTTGATACAAGTTCATTTACATTCCAGAAAGATTTTTATGGTAATTAGAAGTGATGTTTTGATAATTAATATCACTATACTTTATGTACCAAAATAATATGTGTTGATCTTGAGCTTTACAACCTCACATGACCTTTCCAAGTCAGAATGCATCTCTAGTTTTAAAATGCAGGTGATACTATTTTGCAAAAATAAATGACGGAGTTATGGAAAACCCCATTTTTGAAACCAAGTCAATTTATCCTGTCAGGATAACTAGTGTTATAAATCGGAATATAAGATAGAAGAATACATTTAACATATTTGTAATACTTGACTATTTTGCAGTCCATATTTCCAAGTCCGCTCTTATTGATATGATATATGCCTTTTGGATATGACCTAGTATTGAATCCAATATCTCCTTTTGCTTATGGTTTTAATGCATTTTTAAAATATAGGAATATTGATGATGTCGACAAAACAATGGATGAGATAAATGAGCAAACGGAGAACATGAAACAAATTCAGGAAGCATTGTCAGCACCTATTGGTGCAGCTGCTGATTTTGATGAGGTATGCACTGACTTCTTTTACTTGAGGAAATATTGTTTGATTTCGTTGTCATATGGACCAAATTTCAACTTCGAAGATGATGAATTATTTGTTTTTAAGATTAAAATTGATAACTTCATCTAACATTACAACATTATTGAAAAGAAGTCGTGTTCTATATGTAACACATTCATTGTTTGGAAATTGACAAGTAGTTCCTCTGTCCCTGAAGAAAAGCAACATTTCGACCTACGTGCAAATAAAATAAAATAATGGATCATAGCCAGATGCCCAAATATCATAGAAGAACTTTTTTCTATATTAAGTTGAAGTCAAGTGAAATGAACTGCTACTTTTTTGATATGATAGTAAGAACACATACGTGGTTTAAAATAATATGCTCTTCTGGAAGGAAGTTTTACTACTCATGAAAGACATCCCAAAAGGAAAAATCATGCAATTCTTGTGGGACTGGGTAATGAAGGGAGTAATAAGCTTGACCCCAGAAGTCGAATCGACTATCTTTTGTTGAATGGAGGAGTAATTGTTTGTTTCCCTTTGAATATAATTTGTTAATTTCGTAACTGTAAAAATGCAGGATGAGTTGGAGGCTGAACTTGAAGAGTTAGAAGGAGCTGAGTTGGAGGAACAGCTTCTACAGCCTGCCACAACTGCCCCTGCAGCTCCAGTGCATGTGCCTGCTGGAAGACAACCAACACGTCCAGCTCCTAGGAAGAACACAGCTGAGGAAGATGAGCTTGCTGCATTGCAGGCAGAAATGGCACTTTAAAGGTCAGTTTCTTGTTTGAGATCTATTTTGTTTTATTGTATTCGTATGAATCTGCTTTTTTGATAATTGAAGCTTACAGTTTGTTAATTGCCATTGGAAACACTGCATTTGCATGTCAGGTGCCGTGGAACTTTGCAGAATTAGATGTTTATAAACTAACCCTTCTACTGTTTTGGTATATAGAGTTGATATTACTACGTTGTTTGTGGGATTCATGAAGACTTAATACTCAGTTTTTGAGATTATTTGAACCCCTCTTGAATCTTTGCAATTAGGTCACCGCTGTTCTAATTTTAAGACGCTAAGGTTTTGCATCTACTAACAATATGACTTCAGGGATCTGTCAGAAAAAAACTATTGAGTTGCATGTGGCATTTTGCACCGACGTGGCACCCAAAATAGAGTTATATGTTAGCGATTTGGTCACCTTGATTTAGTAATAATATGATTTGATCACTATATTCAATACCTCAGTCAATGTGATGATTTATTTACAAACTGGATTACACAATAAACTTTTAAAACATTTCGAGTTTTCGTAAGTGTATGTGGTAATGTTGAAATTCTGTTTCCAGATTTCTGAAACTTACGGGGTTCGTTATTTTTTTTTGACAAGAACAGGTTACGCACTCTTTCAGGTTCAATTCAATTCCCAGCTGGAAGATCCTGTAAAGATCGGAGGTATGACATATGGTGATAGGTTTGATCCGTTAAAAATTTATTGACATCAACATGAATTGTTTGTGTGGAAAAGGATTAAAGTGTTCATGTGTTGGTGTATGCTATATGGGTACGATGTTGATGTTGATTATTTGAGAAATTTGTCTTCAATTATAGAAAGTCGAATACTATCGTTATTAACAATGTAATATGCGACAGATTGTTTTCGAGTAAAATGTTCAGGAGTTGCAAAAAAGGTGTCACAAAACTGATGAAATGGAAGTGTTGTCGATACATGTTTCAGATGAAGCTGGAATCACTGCTAATAAGTGTATATTCTGGTTTATGAATGTAGGACAGAGAGTTGATTTCGACCATCCAAGAAATCTTTGGAGGGTTGGTTGTTTGTTGTTGTACATGCGTAATTAGCTTGCATTGTGCGTTAGCCGTTATGTAACGTAATTGGGTTTTAAAATGCACAGAGGCTTCTCGTGACCCTTGCCGCGACCTGAGTCGCGGGCCAAGTCGTTTGTGACACATGTCGTGCCTTCTCGCATCGCATGCCCTGTCACGACCCGCACCTTATCGTGCCGTGTGCCCGCTATTCCTCGATCGTTCACCGACCGTTTCTTGAAATTTATCTTTTAAAGGCGACATTGAAAATACGGGTGTAACATAAATACATCTGATTTAACACATAAATATTTTTGAAATTATGCCTTAAAATCTGATTGATTGTTATCAGATTACAATATGAATCCAGTTTGTTCGAAAATCCGAAAAGGGATACGAACTTGGATATGCTTATCGGGATCTATCATAAATGGAATCCGAATCAGTCCAAAATCTGAATTGGTAAGGATCCTCCAATGCTAAAGTCCTTTTCGGGATACGATAATTTATATTCTTGTTGGAATCCGAAATATAGCTTATGTTTCAAACAAAAAAATTAGAATATGGTTTTTATTGTAAAGTCTTATTATTAGTTTTATTGGTTCAAAAGTACAATGCCTTCAACAAAATCGAAGATTAGTTGAAATGAAGTTAAGATAGTCACCAAAGCGAATTGGATTGTCATCTAACCGATTGAAGATCAATACAAGATAGAGTCAAAAACAACTTGACAAATACTGTTTTTGGCAAGTTGATTTTTGAGTGTAAACTTAGCAAGCAAGTTTGACTCAAACTCTATCAACTATTGTCTTAATATGAGAACATGTTAAACATATCAGACTAAGTTCAAAAAAATTATTAGAAATATATATATATATATATATATATATATATATATTAATTTATATACAGAATGATATATTGTGTTAACAAAAGTCTACATCATACTAAAAGGTTTAAATGAAGAGTACAAACATCCATTGATCTTCAAATCAGATAAAGACACGCGTCCAAGTTAGATAGCAGCATCTAATGCAACGGTGACTATAAAAGGCGTCATTTGACAATGTTGCAACTCACTACTTTTAATAGGATTTTTAAGTTATAGTTTCTTAGGTAAAATTGACGTCAACATCTGAAAGCTATCTCAACTCTTTAGATCTAAAAGAGTACCCTCTTGGCCTCTTCTACTACATTTTCAGTCTCTAGCAAATTTTTCACCAACCAGATTGTTTATGATCAAGTCTGACATCCTAGCTTCTGCAACAAACATATGGTTCTTTGTTTTTTATAAACATACATAATTAATAAGTGAAAATATGTTGTGTTTGTATTCAGCACCCTTCTACAAATGTTTTTTTATGTACGTATGTAAAACCACAAAAAAAGAATGAAAAAAACATCAAAATGGATGTCATATTAAAAAGAATAAAATGATATTTTTTATTGTAATTTATTCCGTCCAATTTTCATTACATTTTATCATCTTAATCAAAAATTTGGATGAGTTTTTTTATTCTTCTTATTAAAGGTTTTCTATGCATCTTCTCCACGGATTGTGTTCCGGTGAAAAGAAAGATTATGGTGAGAAATGTAAGAAGAGATCTCTATACTTGGATAATTAAATGTCAGCATTATTGAGGTGCACCGAGATACACCAGATCAATCCCTTTTAAAACACAATTCATGGGTGGGTATGAGATTAAAAATGATCAAATATTCAAATCTTTTTCTTACTCTCTCACATGATCTTTCGCATCTTCCCTCTCTAATATATATACACATATACACATATGTGTGTGTATATATACACACATATTGGGTTGGGTTCGAATAAAAAGTAAAATTATGATAAGAAGCGTAAAAAGAGATTTCACATTTAAATCAATCCTAATTGAATATTAACACTACTGAGATGAAGATGTAATGATCAATTCCCTTCCAAAACACAATTTACGGATTGCATGAAATTAAAAATATCAAGAATTCAGATTTTTTTTCTTATGCTTTTCACCATAACTTCATTTTTTTACACGATTTTTCGCCATATTCTACATACTTACATATATGTGTGTGTATATATATATATGTGTGTGTGTTAGTTATTATACAACATTTTATATTTGTACAATCAATACAACTCAATCTCAACCGTCCATTTAATATGATAAATATGTAATTTCATAAAAGTTTATGATCATAATTAATAAACTTTATTATTTTTCATAAATATTTAAATCATAATTTGAAAAGAATAGAAACCATAAATTTATATCAAAATTATTAAACTAAAAAGAAAATGCAACCGTCTGTTATTAGCAAAAAGAAAAAGAAAAAAAAGAACACATACAACGTCTGGTGCACAATGCACAATCCTCCTCTTGATCGCTAACTCGCTAAGATATTTTAGCAGACAACCGTATGAAAATCTCATGAAGGGCAACCAGTGGCCAAGAGCAACAAATCAAACCACACCATCATCAACATCCTTCCATTCTTCACTTTTTGATGAATCTTTTCAACCATGGGTCTGGGTTTCAGGCTTAACTTGAAATGGGGTCTCTCCATTCAACCTCCTCTTTCATCCAATTCCTCATTCTTCCCCTCCTCAACGTATGCATCCTGTAAGTATCATTTCCCCCATTTGAAATCCCATAATCTTGATTTGCAATTAGGTTTATGGGTTCGAATTTCTGATTCGGTAGTTGTATGATTGTATCCCGTACTCGACAATTTGGAATTGAATTGAGTTCATGGGTTTGTTAGAAGTTGGATTAGTTCATTTGCCCTACAAAGAAGATGATTTGATCCCATTATTTGAATCAAATCAAGTTTAGAAAATAGTATAATGAGGTGAGTTTTGGGTACCCTCTGAATTCATGATTGTTGATTTGATTTCATTCTAAATCAAAATTTCAATTATTAGATTCCATCCCTTGTTGTCTATCACTCAAAATAAGTTATGGGTTCTCTTTCAAATTCTTGTTTGATGGTCTAATCCAAGGTACTTATTAGATCAAATGTACTTGCAAATAGAAATCTAGAAATTTGTACAAGTATCATAAGATTTTGCAAAGATAAAGGGCATAAGGCTAAGGGGCCCGGTAAGTGCTTACCGGTAAAATTTAACATTATTATTTACTTATTGGGTAAGATTTTAATCCATCAAAACGACATTGTATGCAACAATTCACCCGGTAAGCGCTTACCATGGAAAGAGTCGTTGCTACTTACCGGGTAAGACTCATGGTCCTTGTCTCGCTCTTACTGGGTAAGATTCTTAATCCTTACCATATTTATCCGGTGAGGTAATGTGACTTGGTAAGCTCTTACCAAGGTAAGTGTTTGGTAAACGGCCCAAGGCCTTTATCTTTGTATTTTGCTTTTTGAAAGCTTGAATAGCACATTGTCCTTTTTGCAACTAAAAAACTAGCTGTTCACATAGCTTAAGCTACAAAAGCTTTGATTCTTGAGCCAAATTAAGATGAATTATAAAACCATTTCATGCCATTTGTTGCATTTTTCTCTTCGGTTGACTTTGTATTAACAAGTAGTCTCTAAATAAATACGAGATTTTTAGGTATATAACCTTAAATGAGATTTTAGTTAAATCCATGACCTTGTTACGAATATGAAGCCTTTTTTTCTTATATAGGTCACAAGGTCATGAATTTAATTAAAACCTCATTTAAGGTCATATCCTTAAATGACCCGTTCTAATACTGAAGTTCCCTTCTTTGCTTTTAATAAAAAAGAATTAGGAGTGTGAGTTAACCTTGTAATACCCCCTTTCAAGAGTAGGCTTCATGAGTAATCTCTCTTTAAACGAGTGATTGGCTTTTTGAACACTTATACTTAATTTTCTTATAGCCAACTAAGCATCAAAGTTGCACTATAACTTACAAAAATGAATGATAAGTTAGACATTCTAGAAATCAAAATGCAAGAAAGAAGAAGTTCTTGTAAGTGCACTGTTTTTCTTTGAATTTCTTTTAAAAAATGATGGTTTGTTTGCAACCAAAATTCAAGTACGATGATTTGAATATTTGATCACTTCTCTTTAAATTTAGATTTTCCATGGCATATTTACCCTCCACAGACCCCACCTCCAGGTGGGATTTACTGGTTTGGTTTACTACTCAATAGTCACTCCTTTCCAGAAAAAAAGGCAACAATGGTGAACCATGGCTCATTGACTTAGCAAGGATCCGAGCACAGTCTTTCTAAACAATATTTTCCTTGTATATTTCCAAAAAGACTATCTCTCTCTATCTCTCTCTCGATTTGATGACCTTCTAGTCACAAAGGACTAACCTTCATGCAAGGCTTCTAGAGGAGAAGGAAGAAAAAAGATGTCGCTTTTTTTTTGGTTAAACGTATTAGTTACCCTCCCCGAACCCTACTCCATGTGGAATTTACTGGGTTTGTTTGGCTTAATGTTCATATTGTCATGAAGTTGAAAGGTAGTTTGTTTGACCATGAAGGTCTATCTTTACTTCTTTGCTTCAAATGGAGGTAGTGGAGTGATAATTCACTATGTATTCTCTTTGCCACGTAAAATAATTTGCTAACCAGCATTTGAATTTGTTCGACAGTTAAAGGCAAAGACATTAATTATGACATGGCAAGGGTATCTCTCCCAATGGAAAGTGAGACTTCTTACAATGATCCTGTTAACGGAAATGCATGTTCATCTACGTCCCGGATCTTGGACATTGATTACTCAGAAACTGGCAATATCAAGGTTTCCTTTTTATATTTTACTACATTGGTATTCAAGAAGCACAGAAAAGTGACATATGGTTGACTTTGAGGTCAAAGCTTTTACGTGTTCAATTCTAAATTTTTATTCCCTTCGTCTCAAAATAATGTCCACGATGAAAAAGACATGCAGTTTTAGAAATATGTAACTATTATACTTTTTAATTAACTGGATTGCAATTTTACCCTTAATAATAGAGGGAGTAATGAGTTCTCCATCTTATACTCCCTTTGTCCCAAGATAAGTGTCCACAGTAGAAATGGCACACAGTTTTAGGGGTTGTTTGGTTCAGACCAAGGAATGAAAATGAAAATGGCAGACAATGAAAATGGAAATGAATTTTCATTCCCCCCAGTTTACCTGGAATGAAAATTTGGGCTTCACAAGGAATGAACCCATTATATTATATGAAACCAAACAATTTCTTTTACTTTCATTCACATTGATTACTGCTTAATACATCTGACCAAACACCCCCTTAGACATGCATAAATTATTACACTTTTTAATTCACCAAATGGCAACTTTACCCTTAATTAATTTATCTTTCTTCACAACTCTTGAATATTTGTGCACTTAATAAGGGCAAATTTCAGAATTTAGTCTAATTTTGAAACTAGATACTTACTTTGGGACAAACATAAATAGAAATGTGGACGCTTATTTTAGATGGAGTGAGTAATCAAGGGTAAAACTGAAAAGTAGTGGACAATTATTCGGGGACAAACTAAAATAGAAATATGGACACTTATTTTGGAACGGAGTGATTAAATATTTCGAAGTTATTTAAACACCAACATTTTTCTGTAGATAGTAACCGTAAAGTTTAATCTGACCCAAGAACTTCTAATATTATTAGCAAATTGATGTAAATTTTTGAGGTTGAAAACTTGAAATTAGTATGTTTGACCTCATATGTCAACAATATAAACCAAACCAAATGGACCCAGTTTATCCCACTTGAAATTAGGGTATACAGATGGGATGTATGCAGGCCAGTCCTTTATCCCAAAGGGTAGAGCAGTTGTATCCGTGATCACATGTTAAAACTTTATCTCTTTTTTATCCCTACTTAATCGTTACCTGTTCATTTCTCCATGCTTACTCGATAGTTTTGATCTTTCAGAGGAGTGGTGGCAGTTCATTACGACATGATAAATTAACATTCCTTACAAGCTTACAAGCAAACAATATATCGCAATATAGGTTACTCTTGGAAAATCTTGTTGTGTTGGAGGATACATTTGCTGATTCAGATGTGGTAACTCTAGAACGAGACATACTGGTTCAATTAGAAAAGCTTGGAGCTTTGAGGCTTCTCCGTACTTCTTTTTCTGAAATACAAAAACACCCATTTTCAACTAACTCTATAAATGAAGGAATTGTCAAGCCCATTGTGCCATCTACAAGAAAGATACAAAGAAAGTCCCAAAGAGAACGAACATCAAAAAAGGGCAATGGTGTTCCGATGGGTTTTCGTTCAGAAGCCATCAAACATAAGAATTCAAGACGGGTAAACTTTTCGTCAAGAAGATCATCAAATTCTAAAGCTGGAAGACTCAAAATCACTAGGAATGAGGCAGAACTATCACAAGGGGTTAAGGTTTCACCCAATCTCTGTTAATGAATACTCGTATTCTTCAAGAAAATCCATCTTTGACTTTTCAAATTCCCAAATCATTGATCTTTGTTGTTTCTCGTGTTGCTTAATGATTACGCAGATGGTTGCTAATCTGGAGAGGATTAGAATGATGTTGGAAGAAGATACGGGGCCCATGGTTAGTTTTAGTAGTTGGGCGGCAGCTGCTGGAATCGACAAGAAAGTGTTGCTTGAAAACTTGCAATTTGGCTGGTGTTGTAGGGATGAGCTTTTGAAAAGTACACGATCGCTGGTTATATACATTGCGAAGAATTACAACGGGCAAGGAATAGCCTTCAAAGATTTAATCCAGGTTTGCTTTGATGGAAACTTTTCACATTTGTTTGCTTTTATGGAGAAAAAATGAGTTATCATACTCTTATATGTTATGCCATCCAACCTAAAATAAATTTCCACAATGAAAATGCATGGTTTTAGAAAGGTGTAATTATTATACTTTTTAATTAACTAAATGACTTTATTTTTGAAGTATATAATATTTATATACGGCAAATGAAACTTGTACAGACTCTCACCTTTGGCGAGGTTTGAACCTTTGACCTCGACCTCTACGAAGGTTGGGTTATCGGATACCGCTAGGCCAATGGCCGTTTGGTACTAGATGACTATTTTACCATTGATAATAGAGGGAGTAGTGAATGGCTCTATCTCATAGTTAAGGGTAGAATTGGAAAGTAGGCACGTATCTTTGAAAGTGGACACTTATTAAAGTAAAATAGAAATGTGGACACATATTTTGGAATGGAGGGAGTATCATTCAGTAGTTGGGGGTCATCACGGTAACAACGACTCTATTCTTTAAGGTAGAGGTCCGGTCTACGTACATCTTAACCTCCTACTGGGCTCGTTTGGTTTGGTGGACACTAATTGTTATCATGCATGCTCACACAATGTGCAGGCAGGAAATGTTGGTGTTCTTCAAGGCGCAGAACGGTTTGACCGCAGTAGAGGATACAAATTCTCGACTTACGTACAGTATTGGATAAAGAAATCATTGTTAATGTTGCTTTCCCGGCATTCTAGAGAGATACGGATTCCTGTATGTTCTTGCTTTCTTCCCGTGTGACTTCTGTTGTCATTTTATTTCCAATGGAAGCATTTTGAAGTTGCAAACTCAATTCCGATTGCTTTTCTTGTTTACATGAATTTCTGTAGTTGACATTGAGCAAGGCTATAAGTCAGATACAGAAAGCCCGTAAGGCGCTAGCTAGCGGGGATGGAAGATGGCCAGATGATTGTGAGGTTGCCAAATTCACAGGTCTTTCGTTGGCAAAAATTGGATCAGCTAGCAATTGCCTTCGAGTTGTGGGTTCCATCAATCAGAACTTTTCGAATGGCATCGATGCAAAGTTTTGGGTATGTCTCCTAACATGATAATTTCGCAGAATAGAAAAAAAGAACCCGAAAATAAACTTCATTGTCTCTCGAAATAAACAAAGCCTTCTGATGAAAACCCGAAAATTATTTGATGACATGAATACCCATTTACGAAAGGTTTATGAAATGTCTAGAAAAGGGTTACGGCAAAGTGGACGATAAACCTGACATCCACATCATCAAATTACCGGTCAAAATGGGAAAAGAATAGGAAAATTTGGAACTTTCTTGCATTAAATAGGAAATTTTGAAAACTTAAAAGCTTATGGAGGTCATTGAGCTAAATAGCCCGTAAAAACGGTTGGGTGGCTGATTAAGTATGGATAAAGTGAGCAATTGTTTTCGGAATTTGAAAAACGAGCTTGTTTTCATCAATGCTCGTTTAATTTTGCTTATATCATACGAGTTTCTGGTTTTCTATCCGTGCGCAGGAATGTATGCCTGATCCAGCGGCGATGACTCCTGAAGAAATTCTGATGAAGCAAGATATGATGAACGAAATATACAACCGAATGAGAGATTTAGATGCAAGGGAGAGGATAGTGTTGGTTTTAAGATTCGGGCTAAAAGGGTATCAACGGAAAACACTCGAGGAGATCGGGAGGTCGTTTGGAGTAAGCAAAGAATGGATTCGGAGAATAGAAAGGAGAGCGTTAACGAAACTAAAAGTCGATGATGAAGAAACGCTACAAAGTTTAAGACATTATTTGTACATATAGTCTATGAAGAACGATGTCGAACCGACTACTAGTCGATCTAGCGTTTTCTACCTTCTCTTTGTAAAGTTGCAACGCTCGTCTTCGTTAATAATATTTCTTTCTTTTATCTATGCTCGTATAAGACTAAAAAGACAATAATGCCCTTTTTCGTCCCACGGATGCTCTAACAAGAGCATCTTCGGTAGATTCTTCAAAATCTCACCAAAATAAAATATTAAAAATCAAAAAACTCTAAAAAATTTGTGTTCGGTTCCAACAGTTCTGCTATTTTAGAGATTACAAAGTCTCAAATCATTTGCAAATCTCCTAATTCATATAAAACAATCTTAACCATTCATACAGATCGATAATCATAATGAGTGAACTCTGATCATTTTTCATAAATATCTCAATCATAATTTATGAACCCTCGTAATTATCCATAAAATTGTTTGTTTTGTATACATTGTTGAAATAATGAAATTGTGGTTTCATATTTTCCTTTTTCATTGCTGGAAATAATGAAATAGTGGTTTCATGTTCCTTTCTACTGATGAGCAAACAAACCAAAAACTTGTGTCTTATCGATTAGAAAATTCGACAGTATCAATTAGTTTGTTTAGAAAAACAATATTTTTATTTCTGTAATTTAACTGTTATCATAAAGAATGTCATAAATAGATAAGAAGTTGATAATTACCATAATTATCGGTTAAATGTTAAAAAGACGAATCCATCTCAACATTAAAAAACCAAAAAAAAAAAAAAATAGAATTTCTGATTGGCTGAAAGGGGTTTGTAGAGTTTGTACAAATGAAAAGGTTTGCATTATGTGTGTGTGTGCGCGCGCATGTGTTTACATATATAAAAACAGAAAGACAGAATTAAATGACAAGGCGACAAGTTCACGGTGTAAAATGATAGTGATGTTCACATAGTGCAGGATTGTTTGGTACGCACAAACAACGGACGCACAATGTGAATTGGGAGTACATCTGTGTAGTACTATGAATACACAATGTGAAATTTCTGACTTTTAGAATTTGTTTTAGAAACATCCGTTGAGAGATTTAAGTAAAACCAATTTGTCCATCAATGATTCACAATATAATAATCAAGGAGAACGCGAACAACATTACAAACATGAGTGTTAGAAGAGATAGAGACAGAAGCTCCAAATGGTCGTGGTCCAGGGAAAGGAAGAAGATAGACATCTGCTATCATCCAAACAGTAATTCAAAAAAATCTTTATAAAATGTGGTACCAAACAGGGACCAAGAATGTAATTTACTCTAAAAAAAATTATAAATTATAAATATAATAAAAAAAAAAACTAGCATTTAAAAAGAAAGATTCCATGGTTGCTTAGGTACCCTAAACCTAAGTAGAAAGGTAGTTACTATTGTATGTGCCCAAGAAATCAAGTTGGTAGGTAAATAAGCCAAAGAGAATATAAAATGCAAGCATTAAATATACTATGCAATTAAATATTATTTGTTATATTAAATTTATAAAAATATGTTATAATATACTAGAAGAGTATATGTATAATGCAGCGAGACACATCTCGATTTTAATGTTCTATTTTATTATTTGTCTATGTCAATGTTATAATACAATTTTATGTGTTTTTGAATAAAATATAAATTTGAAGATATCATAAAAATTTAAAATATATATATATCAATGTTAATATCAAATCAACTATTTAAAAGTTCTCATATTTTATGTAATTTATTTAATTTATTTTTTTATTATAATTTAATTTAAGTTTAATAACGAAATAATTTATTTTTAGTTTAATAATATAACATTTTATAAAGATAATAATTAAGTATTCTGTTAGAACTCAATGATTATTCTAATTATATTTTAGATTTTTTATATTTAAAATGAGATCGTTATCTTGTATTTGATTATGTTTATCTGCATTTAGTTACACGAATTCAGATATGGAGCTTTAATAAGTTGTACGTACGCACAATCTACATGTAATCTTAAATAATATGCATTAATAAATAGTATTTTAAGTATAAAAATGATTTTTAAAAGTTTTTATCGAATATTTTATAATATAATATAAATTATTTTTAATTTCAATATAATATAAGAACACATCTTTAAAATGCTTATTAGAAGGTACATAATCTTGGGACCCACCTTTCTTATCAAACCATTAATGAATTTTTGGCAAACCCTATTGACATTGATTACATATATGTAAAGGGTAATGTTAAACCAACTTTTTTATCAGATTGTTTGAACTTGAATTTTAAAGGTTAAAAGTATTTGAAAATCTCAGGTTTAAATTTAATGAAGAATAAAAATTTCTTTGTGGTTATGGATGTTTAAATATAGTGAGCTCCGGACTATCTGCAAAACAGATGGTCTTTTTGGGATTAGTCGGTTCGCATACCGGATTTGATATCCAGGTCAATCAAAAGAAAATGTAATGTTATATGTAAGTTTATTTATATTAAAAACGGGTAAATAGTGAATTTTAATGTTGATGTTTGTTATGATGAAATCAGTAACTATGGCGTATTTAATAACATATAAGGATGCATTTAACCTGCTTCATTTAAAAAAGATATTTTACATTTCCTTAACATATATAACTAATATTTAATTATATTCGAACTTTAATAATTTCTTTATTTTATAGTTTACATCTTTATGATAACTAGAATGATACTCGCACAATGTAGCGAGATACATCTCGATTTTAATCATTTTTTTTGTCTCAATCGATGTTATAATACGGTTTTATCTGGTTTTGAGAAAACGATAATGTTTTTATTTTTGAATAAAATATAAATATGAAGATATCATCAAAAATTGAAAAAAAAAATATTGATATTAATACCAAACTAACTATTTAAAATTTCTTGTTTTTTGTGTATTTCTTTAATTCATTTTTTTTATTTTTGGTTTAACAATATAATTTTTTTATAAATATAATGATTTTGTTAGAAGTCGATGATTATCCTAATTAAATTTTAGTTTTTTTATATTTAAATGAGATATTTATCTCTATCCGGTTATATTTATATGCAGTTAGTTACACGAATTCAAACATAAAGTTTTAATAAGTTGTAATTGCGCACAATTACTTGTAATCTTGAATTTTAAATAATATGCATCAACAAACAATATTTCATACATAAAAAATGATTTTTAAGAATTTTTATCAAATGCTTTATAATATAATATAGTAAATTATATTGGTGAAAAAATAATCTATATATTTAATAAAATATATTTTTCATAAACATTTAATTTCATGGCTTTTTATTTGTTGAACTTTTAAAAAGTTATTCTCTATCATGACAATATTTTTGGGGAGTTCTCCGAATTTAAAGAATTTCACTCATTCTTTCATATTTTCTCTATTTTTGAGAAAAATTTAAAAACTCTGTTGAAATATATATTTTTTTGCAGAAAAACCCAAAAATCTCTATTTTCTCGGTTTTTAAAAATCTGTTGAAAATGCTCTAAAAATCTTGATTGTGAAATAAAATTTTAAGATATACATGGTATAAAGTTCATTCACCAGACTTAAAATTCAACACTGACGTCTCAATACACTGGTTTAGTCAATAGCATGAAGGATATATCAGTAACAATAACGTAATAGTGGTTCAACATATCAATTAAACGATTGTTTGAATTTTTTTTCCAATTAAGTTAGATATGTATTAAGTCACCAGATTGGTTCGAACTTGGCTGCAAAGGTCAAAAATGGTTGGATGTCTCATGTTCAAATCTAAGGAGGAATAAAAATTCTCTTGTGGCCACGAAGATTCGAATGTAGTGACTTTAGGCTACCCACAAAACAGGTGGTTGTCCTGAAATTAGCCAGTTCACATAGTAAGTTGGATATCCAAATTATTAAAAAATAAATAAATTACCCTCGTCAAATAAAGCTAGAAAAAGACGATGGGGAAAATTGTTAACATAATTGGAAGAACCAAAAAAAAAATAGGGCATTTAAAAAAAGTTTGGTTGGGTTTAAGACTTAGGGGTTGTTTGTTTACCTTTTAATAGTTTCATTAAGAGACAACATCTGAATCTTGTTTGACAAAAAAAAAATGTCTTTTAATGGTTCTAAAACCCTCTGAACTATTTTGTATCGTAAGCCTCCCTTAACCATTAAGCGCCCTGATTTCATTGTAAACAATTACCAAACAATTATATTTCATTTTGCACTATATCATGAAAGCCTCTTAATCATTCTGCACCAAACAATTAAACAACTGACAAACAACCCCTTAAGCCAATAAAATAAGAGGATTTTTGATTTTTTTTTTTCATTAAGCCAAATATGCATCAAGCCAGTTATAATGCTTAAAACCATCTAAATGAATTAAAATGAACTATATATGTTTTTATGTTGAATAAATCAAAACAAGTGAAACATGCATAATAAAAACGAACATCCTGAAAACCAGTGACACCTAAGATATCAATATATCAATTCGTTCATGAAGTGACAAGTGTTATTTTATAGGTGTTCGTGGTCTGGTTTAGGCGGTTTACCCCCTAAATCATAAACCAAACCGTAATGACGGTTTAGTAAAATTTTCAAACTGGGAAACCGGTCAAACTAACCACAAAAAAAAACGGTCTGATTTAACCAGTTTAGACGGTTTTGGCCTCTTATGAGCTTTAAACTTAGAAAAACATAACATTTATATTAAAAATGAAGTTTCTATCTCTATAGTTGAAATTTTGAACAAACTTCGGAATTTTGTCAATTTAGATGATGCAGTTAATTGATAAATGAAAACTAAAAACATAATATTTTTTACGATCTTTTTTTTATTTTGTCATAAAGTTAAATCTATAACATGCAATCTTAATATAATCAATATATGTGTATTTTTGGCTGTCTGTCCAGACTGCTTAAAATACGTGCAAATCGTAGACCAAATCGAATCGAACGGTTTGACTATTTTTCATACTTGATCAGACCAGATCCGAGTTAATATACTCATGACTCAAATGTTGGTTTTTATCATTTCGAAGTTCAAACAAAGCAAATTTATCCTTGATGGCAGATTCTTTATCCCCGGAAGGCAGATTCTTGATGGGTGTTTAGTGGCAAATGAGTTAGTCCATTTGGCGAAAA